ACAGCCGTCCTCACGGATCTCACAGGTGAGCAGCACAGGGTGTGGAGGCGGCTAGCTTGGGTTACGTCATTGTGTGCAGAGAGGAGACTGACCCAGTAGAGGTGAGGTTTGGTGTGTGTGTGTGTGTGTGTGTCTGGGGGGGAGGGCGGGAGAGAAAGATGAGAATGTTTAGTGAGAAGGAGGTGAGGTGAGTTTAAGGGTGTTAGTATGGATACATGTATAAGGTAATGGATGCATATGAGTGATTACATCTGCAAACTTGTGGGCTAATGCAGTATTTGTGACCTGGGCAGGTAGATGTGTCTGAGAGATGGAGTATGGCTGCAGGTTTGTATGCGTGTAGATGCTAGCATGAGTAGAGATACATGTGAATTTGTGGGTCAGGCTGTGTTGGTGATGTGAGCATGAATGTGTGTGTGTGGGTGTGCATGAGTGCAGGGGTGTGTGTGTGTGTGTGTGTGTGTGTGTGTGTGTGTGTGTGTGTGTGAGCATTTGTGCATTTGTGAATTTGTGGGGTAAGCGAGTGTTCATGATGTATACCTCAGAGTCTGAGAGTGGGTGTGTATGAGTCCAGATACATGTGAGTGTGGGGGTGTGGGAATGGGAGTTGCGTCAGGGCAGTCTCTGGGAAGTGTAGGTGCTAGCGCAGAGGGTGAGGCTGGGGCTGAGCTGGAGAGCTATGCTGGGAGTTGGGTACTAGGGGACATTTTCACTGGATTCCATGGTCCCTGCAGGTTCGGGCCTTCTGTCAAACTCCCTCTGGTGGCCATGCAGGGAAGATGATCGGGGCTCCCATTTCCTGTAGGCAAGGAAGGGTGTGAGCTGCTATCTCCGGGAGGATCCTGGTTCATGTCCCTCAAATCACCTCGCTTGGGGCCACATTGACAAAGTCAGCATCTTGTGACATGGCAGGGCTGGGAGAAGAGGGGCTTTCCCGGGACTGGCAGCAGTCTCTCAGGGAGAGGGGAGGAGGGGGCTGTTGGCCTCTTCTAACAAATGGCTTCCAGGAAAGGAAAATCCAGTTTTCCTAAGTAGACATGCAGAAGTGATCACCATCATGGGAGGGATCAGCTTCACACACACACACCCCAAAAAAAGCAGTCCTGTGGAGAAATGGGCCTGGGACCCCAAGAAATGATTTCACCTCCTTGGGCCTGAGATTGATAACAGACAAGGCAGCAGAGCAGTGGTAGACTCCTTCAGCCCGTGGGCCGAGGCTGCGCCCACCCAGCTGGGATGTCAAAATGCCTGCTTGCATTTTCCAGCAACCCCAGGCACATTTGGAGGATGAGTCACTGGCAAACAGGACGATGTTCTCAGAGGCCTTGTGTGGGTTGTGGGTGGGGCAGGTTTTAATTGAGGAATTACAGAGAATGAAGCTTCTGAGGGAAAGGCTCTCCTGGGGTGGTGGAGAAGCTACAGTGTGAATGCATCAAGCAGCTGCACATTCTACCTGTATGAACTGGGCGGAGCAGAGCCAGGGTCCACTTGCCTGGGGCAGAACACGCCTGGCGGCAGCTGAGACCCTGACAACTTCTGCCTGAGGCCAGGAGCATGGTCCCTTTGACGTTGGAAGCAAAGCTGAGGTTTGCTTCCAGAGGCACAGGGTCTTCCTACTCCCTGTGGCCCGGAAACCATCCCATGGCTGGCTGGTTGCATGCCGAGCCCACATAGAGACAGCAAGAGCAGCTGGGCTGCTGAGAGTCATTTGCTGATTGACCCTCAAAGAATGGAGTCTCAGGACTCCTTCCTTTTTCAGCTTTTTGCTGGCCCGGAACTCATGCCTCATCTGCAGCCTGAGTGTGTGCCCCTCACAAAAACACAGCACAGCCCCTGCAGCTCTGGGGCGGGCGCCTGTACCCAGCCAATGTCAGAAGTCTAACGTTTCATTCCTCATTCTTCTGGTGTCAGCTCGAGGTGGGAAGAAAAGAGTACTACAGAGTAAGGGAAACCCTGTGAAGGAAGGGAACCCGTGAGCTTCTACCTCAGCTGGGTCATTCTCAAAGCCTCTCAGAGCCTGAGCGTCTGTTTAGTTTGTTCTCACTTGACTGAGAAGTGGCAGTCGGCTCAGCCTTCCCTCTCTGTTTACAGATCCACATGAAGACCATGCCTGCAGCCATGTTCAGGCTCCTCACGGGCCAGGAGACCCCGCTGTACATCTAGGTACACCCAGCCTCACCATGGAGCAGGGACACCAGGCAGGCCCACCTGGACCCAGAGGAGCCAGAAGCCAGGACGAGGGCCTGACCCCTGACCCCGCAGCCCAACCAAGAACTCTGGCTCCCCTGAAGGGTGCGTCCTCGTCACCTAGTTTTTTCAGTTTGATTTGGTTTGTTTGTTCTTTTTTTAGTTTTGTTTTGGGTTTTGCCAAAAAAGAAGGGGGGGAAAAAGAAGTATGTCCTTACTGAAGGAGAGTCCCAGGACAATCCTTTGTAGAACCTTCCAGTCTCTTGACACATTGTCGTCACCGTCACCGCTGATGAAGGGTGCTCACAGGTAGTTCTGTGTGGTGTGCTGTGTCTTTCCTCCCTGAGGCTACAAAATATGAATGTGGTGCCCGCCCACGTGGCTGTGAAGAGGGCCCTCCGTGATGCAAGCGCAGCCTTCTCGGCCCTGTGGCTGGGACACCTGGGGTCCAGCCAAGTCCTGAAGGGGGCCCGTAGGCTGGCACTGCCTCCATCTACACAGGAGCAGGGGCAGCCTGGCTCCCAGGGCGAGATTTGTGCCGAGTGTGAGAACCTGTGATTGATTGTAAGTATTTACACAGCAAGGGGATACTCCCAAGTTAAATAATGATAATAAAAAAAAAAATGGTCACGATGTCAAAACTCCATATTTATTTAGCAAATAATACTGTTTGGACTTTGACCTTGGCAAACCATTCTTCAGATGTTTAGGTTTTCCGATACCCTGTGACCACAGCTGCTTCTCTTGTCCTAGCCTGTTCTGAGTCCCACGAGACCCTGTGAATTTCCCTGGGCACCCTCACTTTGACCCCTTCTCTGCCACAGGGCTTCCTATTAGGGAGCAACATCCTGCCAGAGACAAAGGCGGAGGCATGGGAGATGGTCCTATTTAAATAACAACAACAAAATCTATCTAAGCATACGTAGACACACACACACACACACACACACACACACACACACACACACACTGTCCCCAACAAAGGAAGCCCACACCGGAAAACCCACCTCTGCCCTTCCTGAAGGGACCAGCGAGAGTGCGGACGATTTGCCGAGTGAGGCTCTTGGCCATCCTGCACGGAGCAGTGTGAGTGCAAACGGACCAAGGAGCGCGGCGGCTGGCTCGGCCCATTAGAGATCCGTGTTAACTGACATCATTTGTCTGGCAGTCTCTTATTTCGGCTCAGGCCATGAAGAATACACTGTGACTTAAGAAGCCTTACCACGCAGTAACTAAAGCTTTAGGATTACTGTACTCGAGGAGTAACTTGTGTGTTGCATGCAGCTGACCCTAGGAAGACTTCGCGCATATCGCTAATAAACCTGAAGTCATGACCAAAAGAGCGTTGTGAGCCTCCTTTGTCGGCCCTGGAGGCCTCATTTCCACAGCTCCCACAGCCTGCTCCCCGAGCCTGCCCTGACCGAACTGCACCCCTCCCTGTTCTGGAACCTTAGCAGCTCTCACACCGGAAGTTGCCAGCTTCAGGTTGTCTACATCCTCACCTGCTGCATGAAAGACCTGGCTGGAGACTAAAGAAGCAGTCTGTTCCATCAGAAGAGTGTGTGTGTGTGTGTGTGTGTGTGTGTGTGTGTGTGTGTGTGTGTGTCTGTGTGTGTGTGTAAGGATGTTGACCCACACCCCTGGCCTTTCTCCACACTTTTGGCATCCACACCCGTAGAATGTTAACAGGGCATCTGTACCTTGCTACAGGCCTGCTGTTGCCTGACATGACAGGATAATGGGGTAAACTTGGGATTTTCTCAGGAGGTTGGGGCGGGGGACCTTGGCAAGCAGGGCTCACCTCTCTGGCCTACCACAGCAGAGCATACCTGTGAGCTGCTGGTTACATGCTTTTTTCATCACTCCTGATTTTGCAGGACCTGCCCAAGGGGTCCGAGCCATGTGCTCGCTTTACTCGTGGCCATCAGAGGCAGGTGGGAAACAGCCCTTCTCTGTGAATTCTGGCCCCAAACAGTGCCAAGGAAAACACCGTCAGAAATGAGTGCACTGCAAAGGTCTCCAGGTCTGTCTCCTCATTCCCCAAAGACAAAAGAAATGAGAGCAAAGAGAAGTGCTTCAGCCTGCCAAGGTTCAAAACCTGCTATCTGGATGGCTGGCATTCTTGAAGAATGCAAAGAATGCCCCCCCACCAGCATGAAAAGCTAGAGGGCAGAGGAGCTAGCATAGGTCTATCGCCAGGCCAGTGGAGGGCGCCCTGTGTGTCCTACCTAGATAAAGCATGTGCCCCACTCCAGAGAAGATACACAGTTAGATAGGAGGACATGATGTCCACCACATGGTACATGGCGTGTGTAGTGTGTGTGTATTTTCACCTGTGTGCAGGCACGTGATCATTTGTGCACATGTGGAGAATCACCCTCTGTCACATCCCCTCCTATTTTTTGAGAGGAGAGTCTTTTACAGAAGCAGGGGCTTGTTCCAGCTGGGCCGGCAATCCAGCAAGCCCCTGGGATCTGCCTCTCTCTGCACAGCCCAGCACTGGGGCTGCGGTGCGTACCTCCTTTCCTTCTTAGAATCCACTCGGGTCCTCATGCTCATCCGAGGAGTGCTGTACCCACTGAGCCATCTCCCAGGCCCTGGCACACACAGTTCAGGACCTTACACGGAAGACTTTGGAATATAGGACCACACTTCCAGAGGCAGCTGTGTTTTGGACCTATGAACACAGGGGACCGCCTTCTCACCTCAGCCCCTGGCACTGAGCTCTTAGTAGGCAGCTGTGGTGGCTTCCCGCTCCCCCAAGTCCAGTCCCTCCAAGACCCTCTTAGTTCCAGTTAGAACTCAGTGACCAGAAATACTTTTTATTAAAACACTGATCATTATTAAAACACCTTGAGGTACATTAAATAAATACAACCTTTCAAGTTGTACAAACAGGTCTCTGGTGGCCTGAAAACGATTTCCTATAAATTCTGCCTCAGCGGCATCTGGGAGCTAATGCAGCAGAAGGGGTTGGGGATGGGGGTGGAGATGGGGAAGAAGATCCAAAATGAGCTTTCTGTTCCAGGGTTGGCTGCAAGCATTTCAAATTTTATCATGGCTTCCCTGGGAAGGAGACCTTAAGTCCTTGACATGGAGCCATCCACCTTACAGTGGAATTGCTGCCCACAGTGGGTTCGCATCAGCATCTTCCTGCCCCCAGCAGAGTTGAAGGATGTTCTAGAAGGTGCTGGCATTTGTTTTTTGGCTGGGGGCCCAGGGCCTGGCAAGCCCGGAATGAGAGCAATCCCCTCCCAAATGATCACTGTTGGGCCCAGGTCAGCTCTCAGCAAAAGGAGCAGGGCCAAGCCTTCCAAAACGGAAGGGTGTGCAAGCAGTGGGGAGGAAGGCAGTTTCTGCTTCAGCAGGGGACCCACATTCTGCCTGGGGTTCCTAGTACTATCTCACCACTGAGGCAGAGCCAAGAGACCCAGAAGAGACTAGTCAGATTGCAAGAACACTGTCTAGTGTCTGTAACCAAAACCTCTGACTCCCTGGAATCCTGGTGCTTGGGCATTTCTAGTGCCCACATGGGCCACCCAGGGCCCTGAAAAGGTGAACAGAGACTGACCTGTCACCTGACAGCCTGGCTTTGGGAGGCAGAGGTTCTTGCCCAGCCGTGGCATGAATTGCTTTAGTTTCTTTATCTATAATATAAACCTGTTAAAAAGAGCCTTCTCATAACCAGGCTAGAGTGTTTTGTGCATACCGCCTTCTTGAGAATGTCTGGGACTCAGGCCTTCCGGGTGGTGGTGGTGGTCGGCACCTAAGGGGAGGTGCAGCTTGAGGCAGGCGTGTCACATGACAGATGAGAGTCTGCTGCAGAGAAGCAGCGTGAGGGCCACAGAGGCCTGTACTGTGTGCGGACACCGGTCACCCTGGCCGCACCATGGGAATACCCCAGGGCTTGGGTCAGTCGGGTAGGGGTCCTGGCTTCTCTTGAGCCACAGCTTGTTCTGAGATCCACAAGTGTTTACGCCCAGCATGGACCCTCCAATCAGGTGACACCCAGCTGCCTCGCTTTCCGTCATCTTTGAGGTGATGGAAATGCCCAGCACCCAGTCCCAAGCTATGAGAGTATTTCATGCTTAGAGGCTCAGGGAGGCCATTCTACATGTAAGGGATCGACTCTGGGGATTTTCAAAGTCCTCACTTGGAGGAAAATTAGAGAATTTTATAGTCTGAATAAAGTGCTCAGAATTTCATCTCTCCACATCTCCCGAGGAAGAGGCAAGGATGCTGCCAAATGCCTGGGTTATACTTTCCAGCTTTCTAACCACAGAAAGGCAACAACTTACGGCAATGTGAAAGCCATCAGGGCGTGGACAGCTGACCGCCACTGGGAGTTTCCCACAGTTTCCAAACACACAGAGGTCCTCAACATACTAGCTACAGGGAGTTCGGGGCTGGTGTGGAGGAGTAAAGGCTGAAGGACAGGCAAGGGCAGGCGGAACAGAGAGAAGAGTGGCCTAAGCCTGCCAGCTGGACACTGAACGTGGTGGGCACACTCTGGAGGCCCACCCTGGCACTTCCCATAGACTTACAGCTCCTGTGCCTATTCTGAGGCCCATGGGCCAGCTGGGGTCCAGTGATCTCACATGCATTTCCATTTCTGCAGGAAGTTCTTACAGGCAGTGCTGCTCCAAACCCACTGCGGAGAAGTGGTTGCTGTCGATCTGGCTAGAAAGTGAGGTCTGACCAGCCAAGAAAGTCTGGGGTGGCCATTTCGCCCAAGGCCGCCTGTGGTGCCCCACCTGGATTTGCCTTGCTCCTGCATGTTCCACCACTGGCCTTCTCTCAGAAATAAAATGGCTGGCCTCCTGCATCCTTCAGTGTAGGTGTGCCTAGTGAGTTGAGAAGGGAGAGGCATACCTTAGCTGAAGGTGCACACAGAGCAGAGACCACAGCTTCCTCACCCGGACTTCCTCACCACTGGGTGAGCTCAGATACAAGGGGAAGCCCTCCAGGGCTTATATAAGGAGGGGAGCATTTTGGCTAAGACACAAGTAGCAACTATTATTAGCTGTGGTTGGAAGATGGGAGAGCATTGGGGAGGGGCCCGGGAGGAAGTAGGAATAACAGTCCACATACAGAGGCCTAGTGAGGAGGCCCGGGACACAAGGAGGTGGGCATTCAACTGCTTGCTTCCCACGGGTGCCTAGGAAGAGCTTTCATTGTGGATTTATTTGCACGTTAGCCCAGTGGGCAAAAAGGTAGTCTCAGGCTGTGCTGCAATCACCTCCTTCTTTTGACAGGAAGCGAATGGTCTGAATTTGATAAAGGTTTCATTGCAGAGCAATACCGGCCACATGGCTCCCCTGCCGCTGCTACCCTCTACTCACTTAACACTGAACTGAAACAGGGCACTGAGGAGAATTTTGTGTTAAAGGCCTTGACTTAGAACAGATGCAGTGTCCTTATGTTCCACAAGTGTCACCTGTCCCTGGATTGGTATTCCTGTCACATTCTTCAGTTCAAGGTGCTATACCCCTGAAGCAACCAGAGCTCGCTAAGGGAAGAGAGAGACATCTCTGAGATGTTTGTTGGTGGGACAGGGGACAGTCAGTCCCCAGGAAGACAACTGATGGGAGAAATAGTTACAGTTCTCTGCCCAGGCCACCAGAGAACCCCCTGGATGCTCTTGGCCCAGCAGGCCAGTGGGCTCTCTCTATCAAGCGTGGTGGTATCCCTCAGGGCTGAACCTTGCAGGCACTGGTCCCATCAGTGTCCACATCCAGGCCGGTAGCTGCTTCAAAGCTGGTCCAGGACGCCAGCACCAAAGATGGCCTCCTCCACCCTGGGCTCCTCCGAGGGGGCCGTTGAGCGGATGGTGCTCACCACGTGTCGCACCTCCGAGGGGAGGCTGCAGTGTGAGTGTTCCAAAAACTTAGCCACCAAAACCCTGGTGTCTGCATAGGCCTTGCTCTCCACTAAGGAGTGCGGCCGCTCTTTGGAGACGGTCTGTAAGGTCCCTGGCTTGTTCCCTTGGTCCGTTTTCCAGGTGTCTGGGTCGCCAGTTGAAGAGGGCTGGTGCTGACAGGCAGCCACAGCTGGGCATGATGTGGAGACTGAAAAACCAAAGTGAAAGAGGTAACCTGAGAACAACAGTGAACAGAATGAAACCAAAGTTCTAGGGGGAAAAAAAAAACAGAAACAAAACAACAAGGAGTGGAAGTGTGCCAAGGAAGAGTTGCTACAACTGAGTGTGAGCCAGCTCTCTGTGTCGCTCTACGTCCCGTCAGCCTGGCTTGAGGTTAGTGTTAACCTCAAAGGATCGGTGGGCCTAAGCGAAGGGCCGGTGTGGGGTTCCTGAGCTCTCCTCAGCCTTCTCCACTCCATGACTTCTGTCCTTTCTGGTCACATGGCCTGTTGGGGCAGACTAGGGATATCTAGGGACAGTCTGGTTTAAGACTAGAGCTGGGGCCGCAGAACGGTAGTGAGATTCTGCTGCCATGTCCGGTGGCAGTCTCTATCCAGGGTCTTTCCCCAAATCTTACAAGCCAGGTCTGGAGAAACGAGTCTGGTTCTGACCTGATGTCACAACTGTCACTCTACCTCAAAATTAGGAACTAGGAATTTTTGGGGGTAGTGAGATATGGTCCATTGACCAAGGATCCATGAGAATCAGTTTGCCTAGCGTCTCCCAAAATAGATGTATTTTGGGTGGTCTGTTCTGGGGTCCTGTGGGGGGCAGCAGGCAGGCTTAGGAATTAAAGACAGTGTATAAATCTGTTAGGCAGTGCCAACGACCCCCTAAGAAAATCACCTTGGTAAAGCGAAATAAGGCAAGGCTGGGTGGCAGTCAGTCCTAGCACTCTGAGGCTGAGACAGGAAGTTGAGGTCAGTCCAGGATACCTAATGAGATGCTGTCTCAAAACTAAACAAAATGTAGGCGGCTTAGGCCACGTGTGCGGTTAATTACAGGCCTTGATAAGATTACACGGAGTCGGGAACTCATATTCTAGAATGAGGTTGGAGCGGCTGAAGGCAGAGGCAGCGAACGAGCACTTCTTTCTGACACCACTCCCCACTTCACAGCAGGCAGATGTCGAAATGCTTGAGGAGTGCCTCACCTCTCCCCAGAGCAGCCTAAGATGGTCCTGTTTTGCGGTCCTGGCTGTACCTCAACCAGAAGGACATTTGCTCCCCACAGGAAGGAAGGGATTACTGGTAAAATTCACCTGCTGCTTAGGGCTGAGCAGTATGTTAGATGGCGGACAAGTAGACATGCTGAGGAAGCCACCTTGCAGTTCTTTGGGTCCTGGTTGCACAGGAGCCTGGGAGGTGCCTGGGAATCCCCTCCGATTCTGAGGCTCTCAGGGGGCCCTGAGGCACAAGCCTTCAACACCTGTAACAATGGTAGTCTCGTCTGGCCAAGAGGAGGCAACGGGCTGCTCTGCAGACCTCAGAAAGGGATGGTGGCCACCTCTGCCTCGTTCCATCCTGTGACTGTTTGTCACAGACTATGAGCTGCATTGAGAGCTACAGGCCAAAGAAAGCTATCAGAAGGCCACAGAGGGACCTGATCCCTTCCAAGCATATGTGAGCCTTTCTCAAAGCTCCATGAGGGGGAGCAGACACAAGGCCACATGCTGGCCTGGGCAGTAGAGGAAAGGGAAGCTCTGTGCCTCCAAGTAAAGCTGCAGAGAGAACATTCCAGATTTGGACTGAACTTTCTCCACGGAGGTACCAGAGGAGAGGGAATGTAGCTCCCCAAATCTACAGGTGCAGCCTGATGTTTCAACCAGGAAGCCACCTCCAGATAGCTGGCGCCTGTGAGGCTCCTGGCTCCTTCCAAAGACCCCGCTCCTCTTAGCACAGTCAGACTCCAGGCTGCTTGATGAGGCTGGCGCAGGCATCCCTGTGCCCTCTGCAGGGTTCTTTCAACCCCCAGTCAGAAAAAGTTCCTAACTGTGATGCAGTCAGGGTCAAAGGCTATGAGCCAGTCATTACTGGTTGAAATTATTCTCCTACATAACACCAAGGTTGGTGTGCTTATTCTCCAGCCTCAGGCACACAAGACTACTGGGGAAGTTTGCTTAGCATACGAATCTCTGGGCAGCTGGCCACAGGGATCCTGTAGTCCCAGACAGTGTCCATTGGTAATCACACAAGGGAATAAAAACAGCTGGTGGCAAAGGGCTCCATCAAGTGCCACCTGAACACACTCAGGGCAGAGGACGGGCCACCTACACAGTCATCGCCTGTGGTCACCTCCTCTGGGCTGGCCCTCAGATCACGCATGTAGTTCAGTGCCCAGGTTCATGTCAGAGCTGTTGGTCACCTAATGGAATCTCGTTACTGTAAGCTCTCGAATCCTTACTCCCTCACCAGAATGCTGCCTTCCTGGGAATGCAACAAGGACCCCAGGCTGCCCACCCCAGCTCCCCAGCTCCCCCCCTCAGGGTCCTCAAATGTGCAGATGACACGTCCCAGGATCCAAGGGCTGGGCCTTGACGGTCGGAGGTCACTTGCCCTGCAGGTTGGGTACACCCTGAGGATACAAATGAGCCATACCTGCTTTACCAGATGTGCAGGAGGTGGGGTCGCTGGCTGAGCGGGCCACACGCCCTGGGCTTGGCTGCTCCTGTGTGCTCAAGCTGGTTGCCTCTGGAGACATGTGGTGAGGAACTGGAGCAGGTAGAAGGGGTGGCGGGGTGTCTAAAGTGCCATCAGGGGATGGGTGGCTTGGACCCGGTGAGGTGGCACCCTCTGATGTCGGGAGACTCGTGCTACTGGCAGGCACTACAAAGAAGCAAGCACAGTATTAGAGTAGGTGACCCCAAAGGCACCCGGATGCAGAAACAGCTGCCCGCCTCCAAACCCAACCCATACAGAAACTCTCCAGTTAGAAGCAGACCAACCCTGAGGCAGGCCGCCAAGCACTGCCACACAGGTAGAAAGCTTGGGGAAGGCAGAAGACCTCCCAGGGATTACTCCAGGAGGGTAGGAGGGCTCAGGCCCCTCCCACTCCCGGCGAGACGGAAGACCAAGGCGCTTGTTGATCAGAACCCCTACAAGAAAGAACATGGACTCCGAAGGACACTAGGAGAGTCAGGAAGTGTGACCTCGTACCTGGAGTGCAGTCCCTAGGTCAGATATGTGGGACAAACATGGCCCAGGTGATGTTCGCCTTGGTTCCCAGAGTAGAGCCTGGGCAGCAGCAACCTTACCCTGCAACAAGCCAGAGTCCTCCGACATAGCACAGTGGTGGGCTCTGGTTCTGCCCCCAGGCAATCAGGATCTGGAGTGGCTTGGCATTCAAGCCTCAGGGAGAGTGGGGTGACCACTAAATTCTGAGCAGTAGGTGACAGACTGGGTGAGCCGCGCCACTGTGGACCAGTGAAGCTGGTCAGGTCTGTGCTTCTTTCTTGTGCAGAGGCCAGAGCCTGTGAGCTGCCCCAGGGGCTGTTTAAAACATGGGCACCCTGGAATTGCCAACAGCCCACTGGCTCCATCCAGGGGCAGATACTGCAAGGTGATGGCTGCGTAAGGTCCGCTTGGTCCATGACAGCAGCCTGAATTCCATCGGTGGTAGGAGCATCAAGCTTTGCTCCTTCCTTTTCTTTCCACGGGGCCCAACCGGTACTCCATGCTCCTGTGTCCGTCCATGGGCTTGCCCTAGGCCGGCACATTGGCACCACCTACCACTCGCTACCTATTCTTGAGGCAGCCCAGGGAAGGGAGGAGGGTCTGAGCTGCCATGGGTAGTGCTAGGTGGAAGATTCTAAAGCATTGCTGCCTAACCGCTATATAAACAGTTGGAGACAATTAGTGGCCCATTTGAAAAACATAAATGGTACTACATACAAACATATGTATACATATACAAACAAATACCCAACTCTTCCAGATGATTAACCCTTTTTTTTGAAGGTATAAAGTTAGCAGAAGAAACTCTGTAACAGTACATCTGTAGCTTGGGGCAGAACTTCATGATTAAGACAGAAACTGTGAAGGGAAGAAAGAGAACTGACAGTAAAACGTTGTGTGCTTTGGCCCACAGGGTGACCTGAGCATGGGCCATGGGGGCTCACAGAGGCTGAAGTGGCAATCATGGAGGCTGGAAGGGTCTGCACTAGGCCCTTTGCACGTATAGTTGTTGGCTAGGTGTTCTGGGGGGGACTTCTCACAGTGAGAGTTGGGTGTCTCTGACTCTTTTGCCTGCTTTTGGGGCCCTTTTCCTCTTATTGGGTGGCCTTGTCCAGCCTTGATGTGGGGATTTGTGCCTGGTCTCTTACTGTCTCCTGTTCGGTAGAGGCTGATGTCCCTGGGAGGCCTTCTCTTTTCTGGCAGAAGGCATGGGTAGAGTGGGGGGGGGGATGGATCTGGGGGATAAAAAAGGGGTTCTGGGAGGAGTCGAGGGATGGGAAGCTGTGGTTGGAATGTATTGTATAAGAAGAATAAATATTGTCATTGTATAAGGAACATGGTGCTATCAAAGCAGAAGCAAAGCGGAGACTGAGAGCCCCTGTCAGGAGCAGGAAGGTCTTCACCTTCCACCTTTTCTCATGACTTGTTTTAATAAGCATTTTCTCTTATGAATCTATTCCCAAAATGTCTTCTAAAAGAGAAAACCCTTCAAATGAAGGCGGTGAAGCAAATCCAGGTTTACACATGGGCAACAGACCTGTAAAGAGTTGCCCAAAGCCAGTGCTGGGGAGTGGTTATTCCCTGGGGAGCGGAGGGACCGGATGGGGTGTGAAGGTGTGCAGGGCCTCACCAGTCGGTGTAACTTCTCTGTAACACAATTTGACTGCTCTATTAACACTTAAAGCACATGCTCCCTTGGACTCAGCAATCGCTTCTGGGAATTTATTATCGACACAATTTGACAAATGCCCAGGAATGAAGAGGTTGTATGAAATAGTAATAATTTATCATATCAGAGAACTTCAAAGACAAAGATTGCATTTATTAACCCCAACCAGCCTCTGCTGGTTGTTCCCTAGGGAACTACACAGTGGTCTACCAGAATCATCTTGGATGAGCTGAGCTGTGTGGTGCAGGCCTGTGATGCCTGCTACCCAAGAGGCTTGAGGCAGGAAGCCTTCATGGTCAAGGCCTGTCTGGACTACAGAGTATTTTCCCAGCACATCCTAGGCAACTTAGTGAGAACCTGTCTTGAAATAAGAAGTGAAGAGAGCACTGAGCACTAAAGATATAGATCATTGTAGAATGCTTGCCTAGAATATGCAAGGCCCTGAATCAAATACTAGAATATAGATAGATAGATAGATAGATAGATAGATAGATAGATAGATAGATAGATAGATAGATA